TTCCTCTTACCCGTGACGATTCTGAGCTCTCAATTTCTTGTACCACATCACTTCTTGAAACAGTTTTCTCTCTCTCTCTCTCTCTCTCTCTCTCTCTCTCTCTCTCTCTCTCTCTCTCTCTCGTGTGGTTCCTCAGTATTCAGGTACAGGCCAAGTTCCCACAGTTAATAAACAGGGGACGTTGGTGTTGGTGGTAGGTGTTGACAAACTGTGGCGGGAGCTCCTCAATATCACCATTGTCCGCCACAACCCTGCAAGACGACAGTAAGATCTAATTAGGAAATACTTCGTTAACAAAGAGATGAATAAGGGTATATTACTAATCAGATCCCTTTTAAGTTGATTGAGAAAAGTGTGTGAGGGTTTAAAAGTGTGAGGGTATGAGTGTGAGCCAAAGTGTAAGTGTGTCAAGGTATGAGGGTGCGGGAGGAGGTGTTTTAAGGGTTTGAGAGTGAGGGTGTGTAAGGGTGTAAGGGTGTAAGTGAGATAAGAAAGATTAATCATACCAGACACCCTCAAAGATGATCAATTAGTTCTCGAAATATTTATCACTGCCTGAGTTTACTGCGAATACCTTACACTGAGAGTAAAATATTCCCCGTGTGTTGATTTTGACAGCAATATACCGGACAGAAATAAGAAAACGAACTCACTATAAAGCAAACTAATTTAAAATGGTGATCACAAAGGCTTGTAGTGTTCTATGGGTCTATAGTGATTTGATATTTACATTATTTACTACTTTTACGACCTGGAAACTGGAATTAATTGTTTTGATCTTACTTCAGTGTCACCAAATGAATAAAAGAAGGAAAACAATTATTAATAAAATTGCTTGAAAGAATAAATTTGAGTGTTTTAATGTATTCTAGAGTGATGTTCTTTTGTTGACAAACCATGAGACAAAATAATATCTGATTACATAATAAAAAAATAATAATTGTTAATCATTAAACTTTGCTGGAAAAGATTATTGTACAGGACGTAAAATATAGTGACATCCTCTTCCACTTCCTCCTCCTCTTTCCCCTCACCTCCTCTTCCCACACCACCTCGTCCTCCTTCCCATCACCTCCTCTTCCTCTTCTCCCACCACCTCCACCTCGTCCTCTTCCCCCACCACCTCCCCCTCTTCCTTCCTCCATTTTCTCCTCCTCCCCATCACCTCCCCATCCTCCCCATCACTCCATCCTCCTCCATCCTCCGCCTCCCCCTCCTCCTCCTCCTCCCCCACCACCACCTCCTCCTCCCCATCACTCCATCCTCCTCCATCCTCCGCCTCCCCCTCCTCCTCCTCCTCCCCCACCACCACCTCCTCCTCTTTCCCCACCACCTCCTCCCTCCTTCCCATCACCACCTCCTCCTCCTCCTCCTCCCTCCCTCCTCCTTCCCTCCCCCCCCTCCCTCCTCCCTCTCCTTCCCATCACCCCCTCCTCTATCCTCCTCCCTTTTCTCCCCACCCTATCTCTCCCCTTCTCCCACCACCTCCCCTCTCTTCCCCATCCTCCTCCCCTACTCTCCTCTTCCCACCACCTCCTCCTTTTCCCCCACCTCTCCTCCTCTTTACAACCACCTCCTCCTCTTCCCCATCACTCCTCCTCTTCCTCCCTCCTCACCTCCTCCTCTTCCCACCACCACCCACCATCTACCTCCCCACCACCTCCTCCTCTTCCTTCCCCATCACCTCCCTCCTCCTCTTCCCCCCACCACCACCTCCTTCTCCTCCTCCTCCTCCTCCTCCTCCTCCTCCCTCCTCCTCCTCCCCTCCTCCTCCTCCTCCTCCTCCTCCTCCCTCTTTCCCACCATCTTCTCCTCCCTTCTCCATCACATCCTCTTCCCCCACCACCTCCCTCCTCCTCCTCCTTGATTCGCTTCCCTCCTCCTCTTCTTCCTGGTGTTATGAGTGTCCCGGTCTATTAAAGTTTTAATGAAAATCTCTCCGGCGCGACTGTAACTGAGGGAGCCAGAGTCCTCCCAGACAGACAGACAGAGAACACTTGTCACTTCACCAAGTCTTAATCACTTAACATAATGACTGCAAACACTCCTAACAATGAACCAGGTAATTCGTCTCTAAAATTTCTCCCTCGGTGGCTATTCAGTTAACTCTTTCGTCTTGCCTCTCCTCCCCCCCCCCTCTCTTCCCACCTCTTTGCTTTCTCCCCGACCCTCCCTCTCCCCTCTCTCTCTCTTCCCGTTTTTCTTCCTGCCTCCTCTCCCTCCCTCCCTCCCCCCAGCCATCCTCTTCCTGAACCTTATCTCTCTCTCTCTCTCTCTCTCTCTCTCTCTCTCTCTCTCTCTCTCTCTCTCTCAACCTCAACTACATCCTGTATTGTAACCTCTGTATTTTTTCCCTCAAATGTACTACACCTTTGCTTCCTCTCTCAAGATATAGCTACAGTAGCCTTAGAGTTAAACCTCCAGTAAAGTAGCACCTCGACAGTTAATCCTCGACAGTTAAGTCACTAACCCTCCACATTTCCTCTACACAATAAAGAGTTCTCGCGCCCCAATGGTAAAAAAATTATGACACAGCGGATGAAAACTTTTGAAACGTTGACCTCAAAAAACTTGAATAATTTTACAGGCAGACAGCTTCCCTAAAAACCATCTTGCACACCCCGATGTTGATTTTATTTCCCTGTACGCAAAATGAGATGAGAGAAGTGATTTGAAATGTGGTTTTCTGTTCGCCTGTCCGGGTGACAAGACGGGTGGAAATGACCCTCCAACACGGTGGTGAGTTATCCTTGTGTCGTGGTCTCAGTGTGTTGTGTGCAGTCTCTCCCTCTGGTACCTTTCTTTATTCTCATAAATATATAAATCGTACACTCTTTTTGCTTATGAATATATTGAAATCACACACACACACACACGCGCGCGACATATACAGTAATCATATTGTGTGTGTGTGTGTGTGTGTGTGTGTGTGTGTGTGTGTGTGTGTGTGTGTGTACTGATTGATTTCTCCTGTTTTTAAGATGTCTATGTCATATTCCCTATTATAATAACAGGATCTTTTATTATTTTGTATATCCATGAGCAGTGATCCCCTCCTCTCCCTCCCCTCCCCTCCAGCTACACGGACTAGCCTATTCCTCCCCCTCCCGACCCCTCGTCCACCACCACCACTGCCACTGTCGCCCGGAGACCAACTTCACCCCGGCGTGCACCCACTCCCAGAAAAAGGCTGGATTGAAAAACACACGTCTATTTTTCCCGCCAAGTTACAATAGATAGCAAACAAATTCTAAATTGATTCTCGTATTGCACACGTTAGAAGGCGGCTCCTTGTAATGCTGGTGCCCTGCTTATATCACTGAGCTACAACTCCACAGAACCCACTTGAGGCCCAGATACTTCCCACTTGGGTAATACTCAGCATTAACTGGAGTATATAGAAGTGTATACAAGTCTATGATGCAGTTCCCTAAGGTGAGAACTTGGGGTCGAACGTTGTAGCGAGGTCGAGGTGTAATCAGCGTCGCGATGCTCGGTGATGGAGAGGATTAAATTGCCTATTAAAAATTTCAATTGCACGCCATTAGCAAAATAAACGTTCAGATCCTTCCCTCATAACAGAAGACGACACGACGCCTTCATTTTTAGACTTAAGCCTCAGAGTGTGTTTATCACTTTCTTTTCTTCTCACTTTTTTTTTATTCCTCTCTCCGTTTTTTTATTACGTGTTAAAAGATGACGTCTTCTCACTCCACAGGGCTGCAGATGAGACCCACTACTCTCGTTTCCGGACAACATACGCTGGAGATATGTTTTCCACCCCCCTCAGCTGTGATGAACTAACTACTGAGAGACAAGACACCACTCAAGTTTCTAATTCTCCCTGTCTCTCACTCTTCTTGTTGCCTACACTAAAAAAGAAGTTCTCTGTAGATATCTCTATTTTGGGTGATTTTTTTCTTTTTATTTAATAATGTTCGTTGATAGCGCGTCTCTGTCTGCTGACGATAATCTGTTTTTGTTTTATTCTTTCTTAACTTCTTTGTTATCATCCAATCCACAAGGTCAAAATCATGTCTCCCCTCCCAGTACACACTGACCTTGTATGTATAATGATGGCGGTCATCTCCTCTACGTTGGTTGTAAAAGAGAGTTTAATGTCTGAGCTATATAAGATAAAGGTACAAAACATAATTCAATATTTCCCAGAGGATTGTTTATTAAGGAATTTTCTTGCTGAATACATAATTGATTCTCCTGTGTTTCTTTTTCTTGCAGAGAAACTACAACAAAAGGCACACCACTTCTTACAGATAATAAACTTCCAGGAAGATCTTTTTTTCCCCACAAGACTTGAAACGTTCTGACAGGAAATGTGACAAACATCTGCTCCAGCAAACCGGATAGTCGTAGCCCCTTGTGTCCTGTCATGGGAGCTAAAGATGGGGTAAGACCAAGGCAACGTGGCGCCATCTGTTGACAGTGATGAGAGTTAACATGAGTGGGAGAATGACCAACCAGACACAGTGTGCTAAATGGGGGAAAGTATATTAATGAATGGGATAATGTAAGAAGGGCATGGAGGAGGGGTGTGGATATGGGGGAGGGGTGGGTATGGAGAGCATGGAAGAGGGTGTGGGTATGTGGGAGGGGTGTGGGTATAGAGGGCATGGAGGAGGGGTGTGGGTATGGAGGGCATGGAGGAGGGGTGTGGGTATGGAGGGCATAGAGGATGGGTGTGGGTATAGAGGGCTTGGAGGAGGGGTTTGGGTATGGAGGGCTTGGAGGAGGGGTTTGGGTATGGAGGGCTTGGAGGAGGGGTGTGGGTATGGAGGGCATGGAGGAAGGGTGTAGATAAAGAGGGTTTGGCCAAAATGACCCTTGATATATTTTACTGACATTTTTCAATGCTAATTACTCATCAACTATGGGTTTCCAAGGTGTGATTTAGGGTTTGTGTGTTATTCTGAAAGCTCTTAATTAGTTAAACCCCTTAAATTTGAATTCTGAGATAAAAGTATATTTTGGTCGATAAATTACTAAAGTGTAAGCCGGGCATAGGCCTCCTGGGAAACCTTGGTAGGATCCTTGGACTCCACCGCCATTGGCAGGGTCCCCGGGGGCATCACCGTCCCTGGGAGGGGGCCTGGTGTCACCACCACGCCTGGGAGGGTCCCTGAGGGCGCCGTCACTCCAGGTGGGTCCCCGGGGATGCATCTCTTTGTGTACGAACCTCTGTCCTGCATGGCAGTGATCAGTGATATTACCCACATGAATCTGACCTCTATACATATATAGCTGTTAATGAATATGATGTATTTCTTTGTGTATGAACCTCTGTCCTGCGTGGCAGTGAGAAGTGATGCCACCCTCAGTGTCAAGACCTGACTGAATTACTCAGAATAGGCAAACTGTACTACAAGCTTTGCCAATAAATTTGTTAAACTAAAAAACTAACTCTGTGAACGCCAGACCTGTAAGGGCCCAGTATGCAGTAGGTTTTACGGTATTTAGATTTCTGGGAGATGCAACGTTAAATAAATACACCACCGCCCATCACATTTCCAGTATCATCGCATTCTGAAGAAGGTAATGACGAATAATATTCAACATGAAAACATAAGTTGTGGTGTTGTTTTCACTGACTGTTCTCTTCTCCTATTGGCTGTAATTTTGTGGGTTAACAAAATATTCCGCCAACCATAGCTCAGGAAGGGACTGCTGGCAGTATGTAATATATATGACTCAACAAGCAGGGCATGCCATAGGTCTCCTGGGAACCCTTGGTAGGGTCCCTGGAGTGCACCCCCTTACATCCTGTGCAAGGAGATGCAAAGTTAAGTAAATACACCACCGGCCATCACATTTTCAGTACCGTCGCATTCTGAAGAAGGTAACGGCGAATAATATTCAACAGGAAAACATAAGTTGTGGTGTTGTGTTGACTGACTGTTCTCTTCTCCTATTGGCTGTAATTTTGTGGGTTAAAAAAGTAGTCCACCAATCATAGCTCAGTAAGGGACTGCTGGCAGTATGTAATATATATATGACACAACAAGCAGGGCATACCACAGGCCTCCCGGGAAGCCTTGGTAGGGTCCCTGGAGTGCACCGCATCTGGGAGACCCCCTTGGTGCATCACCGTCCCTGGGAGGGTCCCGGGTGGCGCCACCACACTTGGGAGGGCCCCTCGGGGCACCCTCACTCCGGAGAGGGTCCCTAGAGGTGCCGTCGCTTCGGGGGTGTCCCTGGGGGCGCCGGTACCCTTGGGGGGGGGGGGTCAGTGCAAGAGTTCCTGGGAACGCCGTTGTCCCTGGGAGTGTTCCTGGGGACGCTACCGCTTGTGGAAGGCTCCCTGGAGGCATCACCGGCCCTAGTAGAGCCCCTAGTGGCGCCACCACGCCTTGGAGGACCCTGGCTGTGCCGTCACTCTAGGGAGGGTCCCTGTGGGCGGTCCTGCCCTTGGGAGGGTCCTTGGGTGCACTGTTGACCCAGGAAGTGTCCCTAGGGGCGCTGCCGGCCCTGTAAGAAGCTTTGTGCATGACCTCGCCCCTCGGAAGGCCTCTGGGAACGCCAGACCTGAAAGGGCCTTGGGTGCAGTAGGTTTTACGGTGTTTAGATCTCTGGGAGATGCAACGTTAAGTAATACACCACCGCCCATCACATTTTCAGTATCGTCGCATTCTGAAGAAGGTAACGGCGAATAATATTCAACAGGAAAACATAAGTTGTGGTGTTGTGTTGACTGACTGTTCTCTTCTCCTATTGGCTGTAATTTTGTGGGTTAAAAAAGTAGTCCACCAATCATAGCTCAGTAAGGGACTGCTGGCAGTATGTAATATATATATGACACAACAAGCAGGGCATGCCACAGGCCTCCCGGGAACCCTTGATAGGGTCCCTGGATTGCACCGCCCTTGGGATGGTCCCTGGGGGCATCACTGGCCTTGGGAGGGCTCCTGGTGGCGCCACCACGCCTTGGAGGTCCCCTCGGAGTGCCATTTCTTCGGTGAAGTTCCAGGGACCGCCACTGCCTTTCGGTAGGACCCTGGGAGCGCCGTTGTCCCTGGGAGCGCTGTTGTCCCTGGGAGTGTCCCTGGGGACGATGCTGGCCCTGTAGGAAACCCTGTGGGCACCCCTCCCCCCCCCCCTTCCCTCGTAAGTGGTCCTCTGGGAATGTCAGACCTGTAAGGGCCCAGTGTGCAGTAGGTTTTACGGTATTTAGATCTCTGGGAGATGCAACGTTAAATAAATACACCACCGCCCAGCACATTTCCAGTATCATCGCATTCTGATGAAGGTAACGGAGAATAATATCCAACAGGAAAACATAAGTTGTGGGGTTGTGTTCACTGACTGTTCTCTTCTCCTATTGGCTGTAATTTTGTGGGTTAAAAAAATACTCCACCAATCATAGCTCAGTAAGGGACTGCTGGTAGTATGTAATATATATGAAACAACAAGCAGGGCATGCCATAGGTCTCCTGGGAACCCTTGGTAGGGTCCCTGGAGTGCACCGCCCTTGGGATGGTCCCTGGGGGCATCACCGGCCTTGGGTGGGCTCCTGGTAGCGCCACCATGCCTTGGAGGGACCCCAGGGGTGCCGTTACTCTGGTGAAGTCCCTGGGTCCGCCATGGCCCTTGGGGAGGACCTTGCAAGAATCCCTGGGAGCGCCGCTGTCCCTGTGAGTGTCCCTGGGGATGCTGCCTACCCTGTAAGAAACCCTCACTGTCCCTAGGAGGGCCCCTGGTAGTGCCACCACACCGGAAAAGGCACATGGGGGCAACTTCACTCCGAGGAGGGTCTCTGGGAACGCCGTCGCTCCAGGAACAGTCCCTAGGGGAATCGCTGCCCGTGGGAGGGTTCCTGCGAGAGTAATCGGGAGCGCCGCTGTTTCTGGGAGTGTCCCTGTGGGCGCTGCCGCCCCTGAGTGGGCCCCTAAGAACGCCACAATCCCTACGATGGTACCTGGGGGCTCTGCTGTCCCTGTGAGAATCCTTGGGTAAGCCACCACCCCTGGAGTGACTCTAAGGGCGCCGTTGTCCCTGGGAGTGTTCACGGGGGCGCCGCCGCCCCTGGGAGGGCCCCTGGGTGAGACGACACCCCTGAGTTGGCCCCTGGTGGAAAACGCCACTCCTGGGAGGGCCCCAGGGAGCGCCAGACCTATAGAACCCCTTGGTGCAGTATTTTTACGCTATTTAAATTTCTGGGAGATGCAAAGTTAAATAAATACACCTCCCAATACATTTCCAGTATCATCGCATTCTGAAGAATGTAATGGAGAACAATATCCAACAGGAAAACATAAGTTGTGGAGTTGTGTTGACTGACTGTTCTCTTCTCCTATTGGCTGTAATTTTGTGGGTTAAAAAAATAGTCCACCAATCATAGCTCAGTAAGGGACTGCTGGCAGTATGTAATATATATATGACACAACAAGCAGGGCATGCCATAGGTCTCCTGGGAACCCTTGGTAGGGTCCCTGGAGTGCACCGCCCTTGGGATGGTCCCTGGGGGCATCACCGGCCTTGGGTGGGCTCCTGGTGGCGCCACCATGCCTTGGAGGGACCCCAGGGGTGCCGTTACTCTGGTGAAGTCCCTGGGGCCGCCATGGCCCTTGGGGAGGACGTTGCAGGAATCCCTGGGAGTGCCGTTGTCCCTGGGGATGCTGCCTACCCTGTAAGAAACCCTCACTGTCCCTAGGAGGGCCCCTGGTAGTGCCACCACACCGGAAAAGGAGCCTGGGGGCAACTTCACTCCGAGGAGGGTCTCTGGGAACGCCGTCGCTCCAGGAACAGTCCCTAGGGGAATCGCTGCCCGTGGGAGGGTTCCTGGGAGAGTAATCGGGAGCGCCGCTGTTTCTGGGAGTGTCCCTGTGGGCGCTGCCGCCCCTGAGTGGGCCCCTAAGAACGCCACAATCCCTACGATGGTACCTGGGGGCTCTGCTGTCCCCGTGAGAATTCCTGGGTAAGCCACCACCCCTGGGAGTGTTTCTAAGGGCGCCGTTGTCCCTGGGAGTGTTCACGGGGGCGCCGCCACCCCTGGGAGGGCCCCTGGGTGAGACGACACCCCTGAGTTGGCCCCTGGTGGAAACCGCCACTCCTGGGAGGGCCCCAGGGAGCGCCAGACCTATAGAACCCCTTGGTGCAGTATTTTTACGCTATTTAGATTCCTGGGAGATGCAAAGTTAAATAAATACACCTCCCAATACATTTCCAGTATCATCGCATTCTGAAGAATGTAACGGAGAATAATATCCAACAGGAAAACATAAGTTGTGGAGTTATGTTGACTGACTGTTCTCTTCTCCTATTGGCTGTAATTTTGTGGGTTAAAAAAATAGTCCACCAATCATAGTTCAGTAAAGGACTGCTGGGAGTATGTAATATATGACACAACGAACAAGTATGCCATAGGGCCCGTGTGGACCCTTGATAGAGTCTCTGGGGGGAGTGTCGCCCAGGGAGGGTCGCTAAAGGCATCACTGTTCCTGGGAGGGCCCCTGGTGGCGCCACCACTCCTGGGAGGGCCGTAGCTCTGGGGAGGTTCCCAGGGAGCGCCGTCGCTTTGGGGAGATTCCCAGGGAGCGCCGTCGCTCTGGGGAAGAGTCCCTGGGGTCGTTGCTGCCCTTGGGAAAGTCCCTGCAAAAATCCCCGGGAGCGCCCCTGTTCCTGGGAGTGTCCCTAGGGGCGCTGCTGCCCATGAGTGGGCCCCTGGGAATGCCACTAACCCTGGGATGGTCTCAGAGGGCACCACTACCATTGAGTTTCCCTGAGGGCGTTGCCACCCCTGTGAGAGTCTCTGGAGGCACCGCCATCCCTTGGAGGGATGTGGGTATGGGTGGCATGGGGGAGGGGTGTGGGTATGGAGGAAGGGTGTGGATAAAGAGGGTTTGGAGAAGGTGTGTGGGTATGGAGGCCATGGAGGGGGGGTGTGGGTATACAGGGCTTGGAGGAGGGTGTGGGTATGGGGCTTGGAGGAGAGGTGTGGGTATGGAGGGGCTTGGAGGAGGGTGTGGGTATGGAGGGCTTGGAGGAGGGGTGTGGGTATGGAGGGCTTGGAGGAGGGGTGTGGGTGGAGGGCATGGAGGAGGCATGTGGGTATAGAGGGCTTGGGTGGGGTGTGGGTATGGAGGGCTTGGAGCAGGGGTGTGGATATGGAGGGCTTGGAGCAGGGGGTGTGGGTATGGAGGGCTTGGAGCAGGGGTGTGGGTAGGAGGGCATGGAGGAGGGTGTGGGTATGGAGGTCATGGAGCAGGGGTGTGGGTATGGAGGGGATGGAGGAGGGGTGCGGGTAGGAAGGGCTTGGAGGAGGGGTGTGGGTATTGAGGGCCTGGAGGAGGGGTGTGTGTAGGGAGGACATGGAGGAGGGGTGGGTGTAAAAAGAGATTTGTAAGGTGCATGTATAAAGATTTACAAGGTTCTCATTCCATATTTTGGTCACTTGGCTCCTCTACATTCAAGAAAATAAAAACACCTTGCTACCTTTATACTTTATTTTCATTCTATTGAAACAATATTCTAAATTAACTTTACAAACTTCTGTACCATACAAAGTAAAGACAAATAAATTTAGAATGTGAACAATGCAAGATATATAAACATTCTACTATTATAATATCAATTTATGTACAGTCAGTCAAAACAATATCACCATTGAGTTGAACAAAATCAAGAAGATATAATCTCAATGATTTACTAAACAATGATTATTCAAGACATTATTTTTTTCAAATGCAATCAGCACCTTGAGCCATAAAGGGTAAGGGCTTGTACCAGTGAGATATGGCATGGAATAAATGTACCTACAGCATGAAAACACAATTAAAAAGGAATATCACAACCAAAGTTATAGAAAAGAAAGCTGACAATGCAAAAAAAAAAAGAAAACAAAATAAGCAGACTATCAATAGCACAAATTCTCATAATGGGCAAATTACAAAAAAAAATTATTGAAATACTGTACATTATTAGTACGGCTGACTGAACAGAGGAAATGGAATACTGAAAATTGACACTAAAACTAACAACACTTCCTTAAGTAAAGTGCCTACTCCATTAACCAATCAAAATGCTTGACATCTAGTCACTAAAAATCATTCACTTTTTAAACTCAGTATACAGTACATTCATACATGTGTAACAATGAGCTTCTATTAAAAAAATAAAAATAATAAAAAAATAGCCCCTTGTGCACAGGCTCCTCTCTGAGCTGAATTAAATTGTCTGGCATTAGCCAAATAAAATATTAAAAGTGGCATCCCTGTAGTGAAGGGGCTAACATTACCTTATATCATGGAATGTATCGAGATCAAAAAAATGCAGGCTTCACTTTATATAGATATTAAACTTGGATATGGAGTAGTATTTTGTCTTTACTCTTGACTGTATATGCTGGTTTCAATATCGTAAAAAAGATAATCTATCTATCTTATACAGGTAGTCATAAACATTTCCAAATACAAAGAAACAAATTGTTACAGTGATGGAATGATATTAAATCAAAGTCCTTCATATAATTAAACAACACGAAATAAAATGTGTACAGGATAGGCACTTAGAAACTAATAGTTGATTAATCTTGTTTTGTTCTATCTGCTCTATCTTGCTGTAAATTCCAACACTACCAAAATCCTCAAGTTATACACTGTAATCATATAAACACAGTTACTTACAATAGATCTACAGCCAAAAAACTTTTATTGCAATATACTGTATCACGCTACTCCAGTATAATTACCAGCTGCTTGGACAAAATTACCAATAACAGTACTTAGCATAGTATACTGCACCACTAGGCATTGAACTAGAATCACTAATATCTTGAAAGTGAATGACTACAGAGAATAGGGCACCTTAAATGTTAAAAATGGAGCAACTAGCTGCCTAAGACTCCCAGACAGATCAACTGACTTATTAAAGCCGATGTATTTTAACAAGTTTGTGCAGTTGAAAAATTGTACAACTAACTACCTAGTTCTCTGCGCATTACTGTACGGTACATACAAATACTCTTAAAAGTTACTCTTAATGCTTTACATAAACAACAATAAAGGTTATAAAGTGAAAGACATGCATTGGTCACTGGGGGAGCTTATGAGCTTGCAAGTTACAGATTATTATACTCCTTTGTAAATCTACATCTGGGTCTGAATACCAATGAAATTATTTTATATTTGTTTAATCCATTAAGTCAAATACAGTAGACCCTCCATAGAGAATGAGTTCTTTAATGAAAGCAATTCCTGCAGATCCTCTAAAAGAATGTGTTTTAGAGTAATAAAGGCTTTTAAACCCTATAAACGGCCATCCAACACAAGTATTTCCTGCAGCCTTTGCCATGCTTCTTCAAGTGGCTGTAAAGCTTATCTTTCTATTCCAGGGTACAAAAATGCTTTCAAAAATGTAAATCTTACTTTTCTATATGTGTTGCCTATCTTTCCATGGTGTGTAACTTGATATCAAAATCTTTTGTTCTCCAACCATTTTATGACCTAATTGGCAACTCTAACCGATACCTTCGTTCTCGATTGGAATTTTGGTCAATTATTGGCCAGAAGTCCCAAATCACTGTCTATCGAGGACTTACTGTACTGTATTCTACTTCCTGCATTCAAAACAGAGGCGAAAACAATTTCCTGCAAATGCTGTGGGTCATGATCATCTCCAATGCCGTCAAGTGTCAATAAAAACTCTAGGTACAAGAGCAAGATGCAAATTTAGCTGGTAGTTTTTCATGTGGGCAAATCCTTTACACCATAGCTGCTATAATCAACTCTGAACCTGACCTGAAACTAGTTCATCAGTAAGAGCAAGATTTTAAGATAATATCTTGATCCTGAAACATTACTAACATCAAAATAAATGACAAGTGTGGAAACAAAAATAGACTTTCTTAAACTGCAATTAAGAAAATAACAGACTACAGGTGTAGTTGGCAACAGTAGCCCATGGAACTGCCACCATTCAAGAAACAAAAGAATTGCACATTTTTAATTCTACCAATAGCAATTTTAATTTTTTTTAATGTATACTGCATATTTACTCTACAGAACTGTTTCTTATAAACTTCCATCAATCCTAACTTTCTTCTTTACTAATGTTTTCTAAATGATTCCATTTTCTGTTCTACAGTATTTGTATAAATCTGTCAAAACAAACCTCTTTCTCTTAACCTATTTCTCAATGCAAATACTTATCAGTATATTTGTAGCATTTAAGTAATATACACATCAAAATATGTACACTTACTCCAAAAATTTTCTTTACGATTTTGTTAGATAACATGACACAGCGGACGAAACATTTTGACAGCCCTACCAAGACAACAGTTCATTTTGAAATTCATCGGACCCTTCCAATAAAGATACCCTCTGGAGCAAGTGTACCTGAAAGTGTGAAGATGACCAATAACCAACAAGTTTGGGGGAGATTTTATAATGAAACATCTGCTCTGAATCCAGTAAAAAGATGGATAATACATACAGGTAAATAGAGAATAGAAATAAAAAAAAAGGATAAAGAAGTGCCTAACAATCATTCTTCAGAAACTTAGATTTTTGGAATACAGTAGTGTTCAGCACACCAGCAAGACGGTCAGGTCAGCAGTGTCACACAAGATATATATATATATATATATATATATATATATATATATATATATATATATATATATATATATATATATATATATATATATATATATATATATATATATATATATATATATATATATATATATATATATATATATATATATATATATATATATATATATATATATATATATATATATATATATATATATATATATATATATATATATATATATATATATATATATATATATATATATATATATATATATATATATATATATATATATATATATATATATATATATATATATATTACTATTGAAGAGTATAACATCTCCTTAATCACTCATTTCATTAATTTCAGAATTGTGAAAAATATAGTCATACAGAATACAGTATAGCCTATAAATCTTAAAACTAAGCAATTAAAATGCAGTGCAAATCTTTGGAATATAGAGTATGTATACATTTTACCTCTTTATAGATCTTCATATCTTAGACAGTCAATTATCACACCATTTATTGGCAATAGAAATGCAATGTTATATAGAAAAATGCCCAGGTACTCTTAATAACTAGAACCTAACTTCAACAATTCTCCCTTCCAGGAGCCTCACACTCAACATTGTCCAGAAATAACGAGAAGTCTATCATAGTGCTCTTCTAAAAACACACAAGACATTTCTAGAAAGGTTTACATGTGTGAAGAGGTGGACTTGAAAACATAACATCAAAATTCGTTCATACAGTCAGTGTTTAACTACACAGTAATGGTTCACATAAACAAAACATAATAATACTTATTTGAAACTGTAATCCAAGGAGAAAAATAGTGTCTAAAAATGATTCACAAACTCCGTTACCTTACGTAACTTTACATTAGCTTCACACTTGGGAAATCCTGTCACCTTCTAGATATTTCACCCCCTGTAAAGTAATCTTAAACATGTTATGCAAATAATGATACAAGCAGTAAGTCAGACAATTAGGATTAAATGTTCTGCTTATAAATTAAAGCCCTCAGCACTTCTAGCATACTAAACCTACCATCACATTCTTTACATGTAAACACAATAAAAATCTGCTTCCTGAAAAGTGCGTTGCAAATATCTTGTACAGTACATGTAATTAATTATACTATAGTGTATGTTGTAACACATTCAAAGTAGTTTTCCTGAAAGGTATGTTGTAAATAATTCTCAAAATATCAATAACTGGAATGTTTTTAATATCCTTTAGAGCTTTCGTGATAGAAAGAACTTCATAAGAGTCGACATCTGTCAACAAGAAAAAAAATTCTGAGCTCAACTCTTTTAGCATCAAAGAAAGAATCAGTTAAAAATACATTTTTTTTTATGCAAATAATAAAAAAATCACCTTAAAATGTCACACTCCTGAATATAGACAAATCAGGCAGCTCTCCCACATGCATAGAACACCCCACTTGCTGCTGCGGTAGTTATGATTAATAGAATATTTAACTACATGGTCGTCTAATGTAAAAATTCTCATAATATATTCCAAAGTCAATCATATGACATACTGCATGCAATATGCACACTCGTTAGTATACCAAACATCATGTTTTAAAGCCTGTTAAACATTTTATTCACCAATGACAATTATTACTATTGGGTTTCTGACTTTTATACAACAAACCAAGTTGAGGTTTAGGTATCAAATTCATAAACAAAATAAACAATTACATTAGAACTATTGAAAATGGCAAAACTTTTAAGATTACATTTCATAACACCACAGCAACAGTGAGCTATCATGTTATGAGAGTTAGTTTAAAAGATCTGTGCATCAGACATAGAACGTATGTTTCAATAATAATCATGAGACACCATGAGCCTAAGACTTAGAAATTCAATGGTTTATGTACAATGGAGTAGTTGTTGTTTACAGAAAAGGTTTTGCATGTCATGTTAAAATTGGCAAAAGTTTGTAAATTACGGTATGTGCTGTTGAGCTGACAAACAAGGGACTCGGCTTTACTGTTTAATCACATTTTTCACCTTATTATTCAGTAATATTGAGAGAGGAGCTTTGAATTTCATGCTTACCGTAAGTGGTTTATGAAGGGTATGCGGTGTGGATTCTACCGAAGAGCAAACGACAGGAGTTCCGTGAGTACAAGATTGTCCGTGTTATAGTGAGCGAGTACAAGAATATGAACCACAGCAGAAGGGAGGAATGATACTGTGCTATCATATTCCAAGTGAAAGAGGATCCATAATTTAACCTGTTCCTCAATGTATATACAGTATATCCTCTAGCAGGTCTTCCTTACATTATGAAAGCCTCCAGTAACTGTGTCAATGCCTCAAACATTACATATCTTGCCAAGCACAATTTTGACATTGAATATCATAAATTTTATTTTTCAATGCTCAACACAATATCTTATATAACCCATAAGGTACTCAGTTATTTTAATTTTGATCTCCATAATTTTTCTAATTACAGTACTACAATAATAAGATTAGTGCACATATATTATCATCCCTCCCCTCCCTCAAAGTTCACAGAATCCTAGAATATTTGAACATTAAATTTTCTGCATCTTACAGATTTATAGAAATCTTAATGTAAGAGCAGAAAAAGAGGAGGGTTCAATATCACAAAGTTCACAAGCAGCAGCGTCACACTAACTGCCAGTATCACCATAAACAAGATTTCCGTAAATTTGTTCATAATCAGTGTGATTATCAGCCTCTCTTGATTTTACCTAGTCAGTAATTATTAACTTCAGTCAAACTGATCAGATGCAATTCATATTTTATCATCTTCATATTCTTATTTTTCATAAGAGTATTATATTAATCCAGTCTTTATAAATGTTTTCAAATACTGTAAGATATTTCATGAGATTTTTGTTTGTTTTGGCTTATCATATCAGTTACAGATGTATATAATGTATAAAACATTTCCAATATCAGAGCTATAATGACAGGTACAGTACTTTCCCATTAACAACAGGTACAGTACTTTCCCATTAATGACCGATATTTTCCCATTAATGACAGGTAAAGAGCATGTTTTCCAAGATGACAACTTTAACCAATACAACATGTATGCTTAAAAGCCTGGTGGCCTACATAAGAACTACAATGTGCCTTACAGATAAGCATGTCAATGAAGTCATCAAAAGATGGGCAACTGTACACTACTAACACATACTATATTTTACTACTACTACTTCTTCAAGGTACTGCATCTTAAGCTCCCAAGATTCATTCTAATTGCTAATTCTTTTCATTTCTTTTCCAATAATAGTCATGACTTGAGAAAACAAGTCATTACTGGATGGGATATTTCAAATCTCATCCTCTGATATTTTTCCCATTATTATCATATAAATTAATATCCAATCACCACACATTATATAATCACGTATGTTTTTTTTAGTCCGGTTTCTTATACAGTATACTGTACTATGAAATGTAGATTTATAAGTCAAATTAATGGAAACTATAAAGTTTATAATGAAATAGGGTTTTATATGGTGCTACTGTCTGTCTGTGTCCGTCTGTCTGTCTGTGTAGATACACAGAACACCTAACATACTAGTTATCACACTTTGGCTGGTTTCAACATTAAGAATATTATCCAAACGCCACAGTGACTCTACATGCCAGACATCATCTATTCTCCAGCTTACACACACACACACACACTACATCTTCCTCTACTTCCACGTCCTCAGCCAGTCAAGCATTCCGTCTTAGACTTACTTCTTACACATGTTTTACAACTGTACAGGCAGCTTTATAAATACAAAAGACCTCAAAAGTTTAAGTAATGACTGTATAAACATTCCAAAATGGATTATTATTATTATTATTATTATTATTAAAATTTGGTGAGGTTGATATATACAGTAGATCCTCGCCAACCGCTGCTTCCATGTATCCACTGTTTTCACTCTATATACCATTTTACCAAGTGCAGCATTTAGTTTTAAATATCTGCAGATTAGCATGGCCTCTTTATCCCTCCACAGTCTAATGTATTCCTCCGCCCAGTGTCCCATCTCCCGCTACTGATCTCCACGCTCTCTCAGTACAGGTTAATACCCCTGTACTGTAAAATTTATATCACTACAGATATTGTTTAGTGTAGAAACAAGCAACTTAGTTAGGCTTTGAAGAGTGTTATCCGCAACCATGGAACCTAACCCCCTATTTCCCATTAGCCTTTAGTCTTGCTAACCGCATATTTGCCGATAATGGAGTTTTTCAGGAACCTAACTCCCGTGGTTGGCAAAGGACTACTGTACTGTACAACAACAGGTTATTGATGAATTAATGATCATCCATTTGGCTTAAGTAAAATATGAAATGTACACTACAGTATTTTTTTTTTAATTTATTTATTGATATTATTTTTATTTATTCCTCACATCTTCTAGTATATATCATTTAAAAAAACTGTGACTACGGGACGAAAATACACACAAAATATGGTACATAACAACATTCATATCACTACATACAGTACAGTATTCCTTCCATCCTTCCTTGTTTACTTCTTTCCTTCACCACCAGCACTGTAAATATAGCACCTACACAGCTGAAGTCACCAATCTTAAGTTTTTCTTCCTATCTATTAAAAATCACAATGTGTGTGTGTGTCTGTGTGTGTCTGAGTCTCTGCAGTAAGTCCCAAAATACTGTAATCTTTTTATACCCAGAGTAGTATCTTGGAGAGATGGTAACACAAAATAGAACTGATATATGTAGGAGCTGTCACTATTAAAAATAAAAGGGCTCTAGAGAAATAATGGAATAATACCCAGGATATAATAAGCTACTCGGTTAAGGGTGTTCATTAGGTACACTCGCTCCAAAACACATCTTTACGATTTTGTGTAAGACAATATGACACTTTTAGGAGCAAGAGTACAGCAGGGTTGTAACAGTAGTAGAAAAGATTAAATGACAGCCAGTAATGGGTAGAGAGAGAATAAGTTAAGGAATGTTAGATCTTATGTTTGAGAAATGGGAGACAAAAAAAGTAAGTATTATAGCAATTATGAATCTAGATAAGTGTTATGACTACAGTTAACAGAGAAAGAGGGTGGATGAATAGACAAAAGGAAGAAGGATATTGTGGGGACTTTCCATATGGAGATTTCAAGGAGTTGTTGACAAAAATGAAGGAATTGTAAATGAGGCAAGAATAATAACATACAATGGAAAACTTTTAAGTAAGGTGGCCAAGTAAAAGGAGGGATTATATAGGCAACAAGGGTAGAAATGATAAAATTTACTGAGGTGTAACAAAACAGGAATTGTTAAGGGATTTTTTGCAGAGAACTACCCTCCCACGTAGCGAATGAAGACTTCAATGACAACTGAACAAATTTGAAGTTTTTAAGACGAACACATTAGGTGAGACATGACTAACCAGAAAAACCAATGTGCTTTTTCAGTTACAGAATGAAAAAACTTAGCTATATTGTCTCTAGTCCTTTGTATTGTATGTCTTATATATTATTTTTTGGTTGTCCTACTACTTTCTTAATATCTTGTGCTATCATTCATTATTTTTTTGTCCTGAACTTCGATAAACAAACATCTAGAAAACCATAATAAACTTCCTGCGCCTTTTCTTTCAATAAATGAAGGGGTGTAAACAGGCATCCTCTCTGACTTTTGTTGGTAATGATGGCTTATCATTCTCACAACTTTCTTAAGAATTTCATGGTTTTAGAGTTGGAGAAAAACTAGTACTCACAGGTGATAGCACGATATGCATCAAGAGGACAAGTTTTGAAGATCTTTTGAGACAAGGCTAATCCACATATTCATAGTTTGATAATAAAGCTCTTATACATCACTTTTTATGGAAGAAATTACCTTTAATTATGTTACTAAAGAGGTGTCATTTCAGTATCATAACTTTCTTAATTATAATATCTATCAGTCTCATATTTTGGCATAAATAACTCCAGGAAGATCTTGGACATGATAATGAGATTCACAAAAAAAAAAAAATATTATCATCATTATTATAATTATTATTGCTTGGTTCTATCATTTAATTCAAACATTCATGAAGTAACTTATCTATGAGTTAGTTAATGTAGCTGAGAAGGCCGGGGTCAGTGGTCCTTCTTCACCACCACCACACAGGCCCCAGCACGACCAGTTGCTAAAGGAGACATCTGAAAGGGAAACTCATTGTAAACTCAACCCCTTGTGTACAGGGTACCCTCTGAATTGAATAAAATTGCCTGGCCTTAGCCATATAAAAAATCAAGTGGCATCCCCATAGTGAAGGAGTTTAAAAACTCTGTTGTGAAAATTAATTACAAAATATCTATTAAAAGCTGAACAAACTGTTGTTAACATCAGCATCATTATTTTTTTGCCATTTTCCACATTTAAATGGGTTAGCAATGATTGCCAGACAGCAAATTTGAAGCAAGTTTTACAGCTGGATGCTCTTTCTATAATCAACCTACTTTTCAGAGTTGGAACAAAGTATAAAAGGTAGGAATTCCATAAAAGTAATGGTATTTGCTACATGATAGTATAATGAGAAGTTGCCAAGTACTGTGGAAAAGATTCTATATATATGCCAATACCCTTACAGAGAGTAAAGATGGATTTCTTGGAATGAATGAATATCTTAATATGGACTGAGAGAATAAGAGATAAATACATGTGTGACTTACCTGCATCCATTCATTTGTTTGAGGGTCATAAGCATGGACAAGATTTAGATAGGTCTGGCCATCATAGCCACCAACACAAAACAAGCGATCACCCAGGAGACTCACTCCTGCACTATCACAGCCAACGTTCAGACATGCCACCTGGGTCCAAGTGTCTGTTGCAGGATCATATCTGGGAAATTTTTTAAAATTCTTCTTGAGTACAAAGAAATCTAAACAAACTCTTATATTTTACAGACATTTATTAATTCTTGTTGAGTACAGTACAAAAATGTCTTGCCAAATTCTTATTTTTACATTTGAAGTTCCTAAATTTTAAAACAATTTATGAACAAATAACTTATAAAAATTAAGAGTCAGTTTCCTGTTACCTCTCAACACAGTCAAATCTGGAAGCACATGGGTTGGACGCGGGAGCATCGTGACCACCAACAGCATAGAGGAAACCATTGACCACGCCTACTCCAACACCCCCTCTCCTTCTGGCCATAGGTGCACATGGGGTCCATTTGTTTGTGTGGGGATCATAACACTCTACAGTTCGTAAGCATGATGATCCATCTCTCCCTCCCACTGCATACAGCCTGAAAATATTTTACATTTTAGAAAATTAAATATACTATTACAATAATATTGGGGAAGACTAACATTTTAAACGGTAACTTTTAAACCTCTCGTGGGGGATAAAAGTTCATATTTGTTTTAAATCAGAGCTCCACAGACAATAATTAAAGCTGATAAGATTTATAATAAAAAAACAAAGAAATACACAGGATAATAATGTGGAGGAGTAAGTTAAACAGAATTAAAACAATCTAACCTTCCATTGAGAACAGCTACACCCACAGTTGACCTGGAAGTTGACATGGGTGCAACATAGCTCCACTGTCGTGCTTGTGGATCCCAACGCTCCACAGTATTTAAGTAACTCCAACCATCATGACCACCAACAGCATAGAGGGGACCCTCTAAAACACCAACACCTACAATACAGATGAATCATTTAGTATTTAAATAATCTATGAATAAGGATTTTCAGCATTCACAAAAGAATTGGTAAAATGGTTTCATGATATAAACACAAAGATTTGCAGTACATATATAATATCAGTAAACCGGTTCTTTACTTTATCCTTGTCTGTGGGTGCAGTAAACTACCTAATCACCTGCAATGAGCTCTTGTATATTTTTCCGGAAAATTCCGGGGATGAGGGATATTTTTCCGGGTTCGAGAGGTGATGTAATGGGCAATTTCTGGAACTTCTGAGAAAATTTTTCCATTACCTGGAAAATTCCGGGGATGGGGGATTTTATCTGGCTTTGAGAGAGTTGTCTCGTTACCCGGAATCTCTCATTTCCGGAAGTGCTCTGCACCAATTGTTCCGGCTAACGGGTACATATATATATTGCTTCAATCATCTTCTGTTAAATGCCAAGAAACATCAATATTTTACTTAAAAAATTATTATGATGGATTTGTTTCATAAATGGGAAAAAGACTGTGATTGTAAACTGAAAACATCATAAGGTGGACGTGACGATAAACTGCTTCACTGTCCGCGCTAATACAATATTAACATTAGTTTTGGGCTAGGTAGGATAAAAATTTTGGTGGATTGGCCTGCAGAAAAATAACTAAATCTTAATGCAACCCATGATTGAGGAAAGGTTGCCCATGCCTGATTTAAACCATTGGTTTACATCGGCCACCCCTGCAAGGGGCACACACAAAAATACAATACAGTAAACAATATTAGTTGTACAGGTATGATTTTTCACCTAGGCCGTGTCTATGCGTTGACATTGGAGGCAACTGGGACCATGTTCTAGTACTCGGCTCGTATGACTCAACAGTGTTCAGCGTCTTGAGGCCGTCTCTACCACCAACCACGTGTAACTTCCCGTCCAAAACTGCTACTCCAAACTGCAAACGTCGCCCTGTCATTGTTCCCACGGTGGTCCAGCTGTTCGTTCTTAAGTTGTACTTTTCAATCCCTGTTGAACCTGTAGTTAAAATACACAGTCATTATATACTTTTAGTCATCATATTATCAAAACACACACACACACGTATACATACTTTATAGAAAAAGGAGAATATTTATAACTAAATAAAAACTGGTATAAAACTAATAAAATTAAAGAAAATAATAAAAACGAATTAAATAATTAATTCTTTTTTAAAAAGGTTGCTCTAAAGAATAATGTGCAGCTTCAGAAATAATGTAGAAACCAGTATTGTATTGTAGTGCTAAAATAATTCTTATCACAGTCAATGAAAGTTCTCTAGAGAGCTTGATCCAGGAATTCTTTTTTTTTCTAGTTATTCGTGAAAAAAAAAATCCTCTTAATCTTACTTCCTCTCCACCCACCCTTATTGGAGTCCATGCCTCCAACAACATAAAGATCTCCAACAGTGGATTTTCTGGGCTTGGTGCGTGGTGATTGGAGTGTGGACCGTCTTTCTGGCAGCAGATGATACTTAAGAGCTTCCAGGATCAACTCTTGGCACTCTCGATCTTCTTTGAAGAGTGAATTGGTTTCTATATGATCAGTCAAGAACTGCAAAACAGCAATTTGTTTATAAACCTAAAAGGATATCTAAGCAACACATTATACCCCATACGGAAATAAACAAATAACAGTGCTATACATCCAGTATATACTGTATGCTGTACGTATATGAAAAATTTAAATTGAAAATAATATAACTCATTTTCATTCAACTCACAATGAATGTAACAGCTAATCACAACTCTTCTATATTATTAGAATGATTAACATGTACCTCCTATAAACAAGTCTTTCCTCAAAGTTTGGACTACTGACACTTAATATCTCACACACACACAGACATCTTAATCCAGGCATCTGAGGTGGTGGACACTGTGTCAGGTATATGAGATGGTCCTGGGTGGTATGAAGTCTGAGTGAGGTCAAACAGCAGAGTCAGACAGTACGTCATGGGTAGCAGCGTGTCATGGGTAGTAGTGTGCCATGGATAGCAGTGTGCCATGGGTAGCCGTGTGTCATGGGTAGCCGTGTGTCATGGGTAGCCGTGTGTCATGGGTAGCCGTGTGTCATGGGTAGCCGTGTGTCATGGGTAGCCGTGTGTCATGGGTAGCCGTGTGTCATGGGTAGCCGTGTGTCATGGGTAGCCGTGTGTCATGGGTAGCCGTGTGTCATGGGTAGCAGTGTGTCATGGGCGAGAAGCTCAATCATTGTTACTCATCATCGACTCTTACCAGTGTGACACATCTTACAAGTGACAATATATACAGTACGTATATGAACTGCTTTGAGAAGGCAGACTTTTGAGAGTTAAATACAAGTAAGACAATATGTTTGGACCATCTACAGGCAGTATTGAGAGTGAACTTGGACTACCTGAAAATGCTGATACAAAAATTTCCTGCCCCTAGTTATCTGGTGACACCCAGAATGTGGATGATATGAAGCAGATATACCAGCAGTCTGAACAAACTGAGTCAGATGAAGGAACCACTTAAAAACCCATCACCACATTTCAACAAGGTCTTGACTTGCCTGTTATTATGAAACTGTTTTGTTTACAGAACAACTTTGAGCCCTGGGGAAAATTGCTAAGCTCATAAAGACGGTGAATTTGCTAGTGGGTAAAAAATCTATATACAGTATACATACTAAACTACTGTAGTCAACTTTAACATTATTATACTGTATAGTAACTGGTTCCTGTTTAATTCAAACACATGTTACAGCATCCAGTATGTGTAAAGTTCTCCATCCTCTGGTATATAAAAATGATTCTGATTAAATAATGCTTTACACAATGCCAGCAAATGGCTAAAGTAAAACTCAATGGCAAACCTTGCTTTTTAAAATGTCATGTTTTTACAATACATAGTGGCCAAGATATTAAGTGGCTTCCACTACATATTTACTTTGTCCTCCAAACTACCACGATCACAAGGGCAAAGGTTCCTGTTACTTGGAATCCTTTGTATCTCATGCCCTCAGTGTGCATATATGAGCTAATGAGCTAAATCACTCACCTGAGATCATCTTGGACCCTTTTCAATACAACAGACAACTGTCATGAAAAAAATAGTAAAAAATATACAGTAAATGAAGTAATACTGTACCTGGGGTGAAAGAAGAGGAAGTTTCACAAGACCTAATAGTCTGGCCATATCCTTTGTACGTGTCTCAAGGTCATGCTTTAGCCATACCACCAGTGCCTGAAAAAATAATATATTTTTTTTTTTGCTTTATATTAGGACGATTCTTCCTTTAAAAATTGCCAAAATATTTTGTTGCAGTACTGAATTTAATATCCTTTTTTCTATTAGTGTACTGTATTATTTTTGAATCATATGCAACTAAACTGTCTACAGTATTGTGCTATCATAAGGTCAGGGATGATAATATAGTACTGCCTCAGCCTGAAACATTTGGCAGTGGTAATAAAGAAATTTTCTTTCATTTTGATCAGTTCCCTGCAACAAACTAGTATTTCCTGTTATAAATACTGTACTTGTAGGATACAGAAATAAAAACCTAAATCCAATGACTGATTACAGCTTCAAAATCCATTTGGGGTGCATGACATGTTTATATAACAAATTTAGAAACATGGTTTATGTGATCACTGACCTGAAAGATAAGTTCCTCGGAGGGAACATTGAGATCTTCGGAAGCCAAGAGTCGAGCAGCTTCCTCTGTGGGAAGTTGGACAAACTCTTGGTGTTGCATCACCTCCTGGAAGTGCTCCTATAGGACAAAACATAAAGGAACCAGTTATGGTTGATTAATTGATTGAGTAAAATATCTGGTGCCGCAGCCTGTGGCTATTTGGATACAGTTATGAGCCATACATAAATTTATATATACACCTAGTGTGTGTATATGTATATCCTGCTTCATAATAACAATACAGGTACAGTATTAGTACAGGTATCTGTACTCTTTCCTGTCCTGTTCTAAATTACTCACCTTACTCCATTTTCAACTACAGTACAAACAAGTAAAGTACTGTATGAGCAACAAGCCTCATACTATACAGAGAAAATCCCTAACTATTATATCACAAATTCACGTATTACTCACTCATGTTTAGAGGAATAAATTGAATGACGAAAATTTCTATATTGATAAAAATGTTTCATATCCACTTATATTGTGTTAATTTATTTATTCTTGCTCCTTAATACATGTACTGTCAAAGTGATAAGGATTTAATGACTTACAGCTGTATAGGTAGAAGCAAGGCGGTGAAGATCTGAGCATCCCTGAGTATCTGCAAATAGCTGTATACCAAGACAGTTTGCTGGATGAAGTTGTTTAGTGAGGAAGTCACAGCATACATCTACTACTTCTGTCAATAATAAATGATGTGCTGTCGACAACACGACTTCTACAGTATCTTCATGCAGCTCCAGGGTACCTGAAAATTTATGGACATGTCAATGCCTCCATCTATAAGAAGAACATGCAGTATAAAAAATATTCTTTATTATTATATGATATTATTTTCTTTAAAGAGTTATCTTTCCAGAAAAACTAAACTGTTACACTGTATGAAATACAGTACCTTACCTTCAGTATTTTGTTATTGAAATATGTGATATAGCACTTGGGTTGGCCCTGAAGACTACCTATACTGAAATTTTGAACAAAATCCATTTTTTGGCCGAAATGAAGAAAATTGTAAGTCTATAGCCTTAAAGGATTTTTGGCCAAAAATACGTTTTCTCTCTGAACTAAAATTTAATGTGCCTAACTATTTAAGTACATCCAGAATAATACACAAGCACCAAGAAATGACCTCGAAAACCCATAAGTGGCGAGTAATTAGCATTGCAAAAGTAATTAAAATATTCTAAAATCATTTGAACATTTTCTAAAAGCCATTTGAACAAGTTATAATCAAGATATCAAATTTTGGTTAACAGATCCTTAAGCAGCACATTCAGGAGTACCTATACTGAAATTTTGAACAAAATCCATTTTTTGGCCGAAATGACAAAATAAGAATTAAGAAGCCTTAAAGGAAATGACGAAATTATGAGTCTATAGTTAAAAAGGATTTTTTTTAAAAATACGTTTCTCTCTGATTTAAAATTTATTGTGCTAACTATTTTAGTACATCCAGGGCAATACACAAGCATGAAATGACCTCGAAAACCCGCAGAGTGGCGAGTGTTGCATTGCAAAAGTAATTAAATATTCTAAAAATCATTTTGTTCTTTTCTAGCCATTTGAACAAGTTATAATCAAGATATCAAATTTTGGTTAACAGATCATTAGCATTTGCACGTTGGAGTACTATACTGTAATTTTTGAACAAAATCATTTTGGCCGAAATGACGAAATTATTGAAGTCTTATAGCCTTAAAAGTTTTTGGCCAAAAGTACGTTTTCTCTACTAAGTAATTTTAATGTGCTAACTATTTGAGTACATCGAATAGTACTAAGCTTCAGAAATGGCCTCGAAACATTAAGTGGCGATTAATTAGCATTGCATGAGTAATTAAATATTCTAAAAAATCATTTTGAACATTTTCTAAAGCCATTTGAACAAGTTATAATCAGATATCAAATTTTGGGTAACAGATCGTAAGCTTAGCTTCAGGGTACCTATACTGAAATTTGAACAAATCCATTTTTGGGGATTGAGTTATGAATCTATAGCCTTGGATTTTTGGATTAATGCGTTTTCTCTCTGAACTAAATTTGTGTGCTAACTATTTATGTATCAAGAATAATACTAGCTTTTCAAGAAATGACCTCGAAACCCATAAGTGGCGGTAATTAGCGTGCAAAAAGTAATTAAAATATTATAAAATCATTGAAGCATTTTCTAAAGCCATTTGAACAAGTATAATCAGTAAAATTTTGGTTAACAGATCATAACAGCACATTCAGGATTACATGTACTGAAATTTTGATTAAATCCATTTTGGCCGAAATGAAGAAAATTGTAAGTCTATAGCCTTTAGGATTTTGGCCAAATGTTTTTCTCTCTGAACTAAAATTTAATGTGCCTAACTTATTTAAGTACATCAGAAATAATACACAAGCACTGAGAAAAGTATCGAAAACCCATAAGTGGCGAGTAATTAACATTGCAAAAGTAATTAAATTATTCTAAAAATCATTTGAACATTTTCTAAAAGCCATTTGAACAAGTTATAATCAAGATATCAAATTTTGGTTAACTAATCGTTAAGCAACACATTCAGAATTATATGCTGAAATTTTGGTAAAATCCATTTTGGCCAAAATGACATTATGAAGTCTATAGCCTTAAGTTTATTATACAGTTTTTCTCTCTGAACTAAATTTAATATTCTCTACTATTTAAATTACATCAAAAGAATATTGAAATGACCTCAAAAACCCAGATAAGTGGCGAGTAATTAGCATTACAAAAGTAATTAAAATATTCACAAAATCATTTGAACATTTTCTAAAAAGCCATTTGAACAAGTTATAATCAGATATCAAATTTTGGTTGCTGAATCATAAGCAGCATTCAGATGCCTATACTGAAATTTTAGACAAAATCTTTTGGCCCGAAATGACGAAAATTGTAAGTCTAAACCTTAAAGGATTTTTTGAAAAATACGTTTCTCTCAACTAAAATTTAATGTTTTATTATTTAGTACATCGAGAATAATACTGAACTTTCAAGAAGTGGCCTCGAAAAGCCATATTGGCTGAGTAATTAGCGTTGCAAAAGTAATTGAATTATTCAAAATCATTGAACTTCTAAACTATTGAACAAGTTATATAAGATATCAGATTTTTGGTTAACAGATGATTAACTTTTTTATTCAGGTATGGACTTGTTTTGTAAATCGTTTTTTGAAATGCGAATTTATTGTTATAGTTAAGGTTTTTTGGCCGTGTTTCTCTGATTTAAATTTAATGTTTCTTTATTTAATGCATCGAATTATTTACTGGCTTTTTGAAATGCATGAAAACACATAAGGGTGGCGGTAATTAGCGTTACAAAAGTAATTAAATATTATAAAATCATTTTGACATTTTCTGAAACCATTTGAACAAGTTTATAATCAAGATGTCAAATTTTTGGTTAACAGATCTAAACGCACGTTATGGGTACATATAATTTTTGAGGAGAAAATCCATTTTGTGATAAGAAGAAAATTGTAAGAAATATATATTGTAAAGTTTTTTTGGTAAAAAATAGTTTCTCTCTGAACTAAAATGTGAATATCTATTTAGTACATCAGAATAATAATGGCACCAAGATGACCTCGGAAGACCGTAAGTGGAGGTGAATTAGCATTTATAAAAGTAATTAATATTATAAAATCATTTTGAAGCATTTCTAAAATGTTGAGACAAGTTATAATCAAGATATCAAATTTTGGTTAACAGATTGTAAGCAGCACATTCAGGAGTACCTGTACTTGAAATTTTGAACAAAATCATTTTTTGGCCGAAATGAAGACAGAAAGTTATAGCAAGGATTTTTTTGAAAAATACGTTTTCTCTGAACTAAATTTAATATTTGTATTTAAGTACATCCAGATAATACACAAGCACCAAAAATGACCTCGAAAACCCATAAGGGCGGTAATTAGCATTGCAAAAATTAAATATTCTAAAATCATTTGGGAACATTTTCTAAAATATTTAACAAGTTATAATCAAGATATCAAATTTTGGTTAACAGATCA